TCAATTTCAACTTGTTAAAAAATGGAAAAGCTTCTCATAGAATGGAAATTATGAGTAGTGTGGACTTTCAGGCAATCAAAACATTTTAATGATCTCATTAAATGTGTCATTTACAACATATGTATGTTAAAAGAAATATGTTCCTTTGGTTTAGTAGAAGCACTGGGTACACAATGTGTTTGAACATGCTAGGCTTCCACTAGAATCTACGCCAGAACCGTAGAAACTTGAAGAAAAAAAAAAGAAACCAAACAAGAAAACTACCCTTTTTCTTGTGCCAGCACCTTTAGAAACAGAAACCTTTTTATCATATTTTATGCAAAACAAAGACAAAGATGTTATGGCAACCTGATAGACTGTGCTAGGACTGCATTTCAGCTGATATATATCACCATTAAATGCTGCCAGACTGATTGTTACTCCATGATATTACTAGGATTAATGATGGATTTTCTTTTGCATGAAACAACTAGTTTTATACAGGGATAGCAGACTTCCTAAGACCCCAGTTTTGTCATCTGTTGAGTTGTGTATGTAGCCTTGAGAGCTTGGAAAATGAGGGTTCTTGAAAATAGTTACCATACCAGTGTCTTTTAAAGCTGCTTCATCCATTTGGCTGTCTCTTACACACCGCAGATTCTAGAGATAACACCTACTTTAAACAGCCAGTTTTCTGATGATACACAAAGGGTGAAATCCCAGTGCTGATAAAAAGAATGGGGTACCTATGAAGAGACCCGGATTTTTTTATGTCAGGGCATCTAGCTTTGGAACTGTAGGTGCATTGAGAGCTTGCTTCCTAAAGCAATAGTTTTAAATATGTTCTATTGAGAGATGTGTCCAGCTTTCGAAACTTTATCTTTGCCAGATGTAGGCAGTGCAGTGTCCCTCTTGGAGGGATGAGCTGTGTAAGCTATTTTCAACCCTGAGCCAGAGAGTGCAGCAGGCAACAGGCCTGGGCTGGAGAGTTGAAGTTATTGCATTATACCTCTGCTATTTCTTTTCACTGTAGTATTGCTCCTATAGTGGTTTGCTGACAAGTTATATGTTTTACAGATTAGGTCTTCTTGATGAGGAGTCCTTGCTTAAAATCGGGTTTGTAAATCAGACCTTATCGTTCCTATTGGAATGCTTAATGATCTCAGAGGGAGGGCTTGGGTTTTGAAAGCAAATCTAAGCTAATGCCCAGGCTTCCTGAATGAGCTATTAATATAATGAAAACTCATGTTTAAGGCCTCTTTTAAAATGTAAAAACTTGTCAGGCACTGCTAAAACAAGGCTGTATGGAACTGCTGAAATGTGTGGACACATCAAAGCATCCTTTGCAACATCTGTCCAGATCTTTGCTGTTGCTGTACAGCAATTCCAGTGCTGTCAGTAGCAATGCAAACCAGAGCATAACATGGCCCATCATGATTTGGATGTATTTGCTGTATAGATAACTATGCAAAGCTGTTAGCCCGTATGCTTGGCCCTATAGAAGGAACAGGAATAACTCTACTCTTGATTGCTGTAGGATAGTGAGCTCCCAGAACAGTGCCATCCTCACACATTTTGAAAAAGTGTTTGAATAAGTAACAAATACATCACCCATTTAATAGAGTTTTGAACACTCCATGTTCATTTGTACTAGGTGTGAGCAGTGAGGTGTGTTTTGCAAAGCCTCTCTGAACTGTGGAAACAGTACAAAGGCAGGCAACAAACGCGGGGGTCGACATCTCTCTTCTCCACCAATCTAAGCCAGTTTCTGTTGCTACCACCAACACATTTCCGTGTGAATTATTAATATTAGTAGCATAATAAAGTAGGTCTTGGTCAGCTCTGGTAGCTGGTGGCATTTTAGCTGTTGCATCATCCTGATCTGATGAAAATCAACATGAAAGTCGAAGTAGTTAACACACCAGCTCTGTTGATACTCTTGCTGGCACTAACTGGCCACTCTGAGGAAAATGCTCTCTCAGGTTCAACATTAGCAAGTCCTCAATACCTGCTGAGGAAGAAGGAAGCTAACCAGTTCTGTGTTTCAAAAGGTACTTTGTATTCAGTTGTATAAGGGTATCTGTAGCAGTATGCATAGGCCTTTTAGATAGAATCATTCCTGAGGAAAGAGACATTATGTCTGCCAAGTTTCATGCCAAAGCAAGATTTTATAGCCTGATTGCAAACCGCTAGGACAGGGCATTATAATGGAAATGCTGACATAGCCTTAACTATTCTGAATTATTTCAATGGGCATCGGCCATAAATTCTAGTTATGCTGTGCATTTAATGGCATGGGATCAAACATAAAGTGTAATGGGATATTTTAAGATACTGTGTTTGAAGATAATCAGTATTTTAGCATTATTTACGAACCATGTCATTTAAATGCTTCTAAAATGTGCCATTCAGTCCTTGGTTGCATGAAAAAAAAATTATAATCACATTTTTCAGGATGAACAGTAGCAGGGTTTTCTTCCTCCGCTTTAATGCTGAGGCATTTCCAAGAGGATTGGTATAATGTTGTTGAACCCTTAGTGGAATATTTCTGGAAAATAAAGGTTTTTGGTTTTCGCTGTTATGCTCTCTTAATTCTTCAATTCATGCTTTTGAGGAGTATTTGGATTTTGCTTGGAGTAGATCTTTGAAGGTCATTTCTTTCCAGTTATCAGTGACTCTGCAAGAAGATGACAGTTATGCAAATATGCTGTGTTGTGCTAGACAAATCTGCTTTTTCTTGTGTAGTATCTTTCATACATTTCAAGTTAAGTGGATAGCATAAATGTTCTCTCTCTCACACACACAGAACCTAATAGCTTTTTCTTCTTTTTATGCTAAGAAAATGGTTACTCCAAAATGAAAGGTGATGTTCATTCATCATGAAGGTTGACAGTAAAACTGCAGAGGATGGCCAGAACTCTCACTGCTTTTAATGCAAATGTGAATGTAGTGTTGAAAGTGGACAGTTTTGCTTATTATCAGTTGCAGTGTGGAACATAAAGCCGTATACCTTATCCTAGAAAACAAAGCTTCTCCTTCAACTATTATTTGCTGCATAATAATGCTAACTGAAATTATTTGTGTGCAGAAGGTTAGGAAGTTTCAGAGCTATTCCTAATAAGTTTCTGTAATAGTTTTACTCTATTTTTAATTAATTATCACTAATCTGTATAAAGAACTCAAAGCATTGTATTCCATAATACAATAAATGAAAACAAACTTTGGAGAAGTGCCAGTCTGACTAAGCCAAAGACACTCTGTCACTGGTTTCTGTTAAGCCAGAGCTCTACTCCCTCTGCAACCCCATCCAGACAGGAACAGGGGAACCACAGTACTTTGCTTTCAGAAATTGCAAAAGCAGAGTCACAGTGTCAGTCCTGTGGTTTGTGCTGGTTTATCTTCGGAATAATCATAACTCTCCTGTTGAGTATGGAGGGTGCAGTCTGAAAGAAGAGCTTGGGCTTTCATCCTGCAGACTCATTTATTCAATTTTTGAGGAATATTGCTATAAAAAAAAAGATTCCTCAATATATTTTGTTTCTGAAATTTTGCAGACCACACTGTTTTGTAAGCTTCCTTTACATATCTACACTCTTTCAGGAAATACAGAAATCATGATTTTCATCCTTTAAAAAACAAGTGCATACTATGGATATATTTTAAATGGCTAATAACTGGAATTTCAATTAGTTCAGCAGTAGACAGAAAGTTAAAATTGTATCTTAATCCTGTGGTAAGGTCTGAATTATTTCATTGCTTCATTCCGCATGGTTCTTATAGGTGAAATCTGTTGGTTGTTTGGGGTTTTTTTACTTTTGGCAGAGTCAGACGACACTAAAAGATGCTGTGCTGCTCTTGACTTCACAGGGGAAAATAGTACTCTAAAAAAAAGACACTTCATATTATTTAATAATTTTTCCGCAGCTTATCATTAATTTGACAGGAAACTGAGAAAAATTAGATGCATATCCCAAAAGCAGGGTTCCATAATGAAAAGACTACATACATGCATTGAATTTACAAGCTGCACTACTTAAGACTTTTGAAACTTTCTAAGAGCATTTTACAAGTGCAGTTTTTTTCACTGACTGTCCTGCTTTCCATTTGGATGAGGTCTCATCTGCTACCAGTCAATAATTTCTTTATTTTTTTAGCTGTTTAAAAGGCATGAAATTTTAATTTTTCTGGCCCATTAGTGGGCGAATGCCATTGGGCTTGTTTAGCCTGGAATCATGGTCTAAATTCAAATCCCTCTGCTTTTGAGGAGACTGTTGAGCATATTTTAGAATCACAGCCATCATAATCTAAAAATCAAGATATGAAAATAACTCGAAACTAGCATTATTTAAAGCAACTCTCCAGGGAGAAGAAATGGGTGCACAAAATTGCTACAGCAATACAATGAACAAAATACAGAAATACGGTAAAATAATGTGCGGCCTTCAACTGATGAAGTTGAAATTACATTTTCATGATCTCACTGAACCTGGGGGATGAAGAATCCCAACTAACTAAAAAGTGAAATGCATTTAACCATTACAGTCCTTTGGAGAATATATAGTCTCAATTTTTTTTATTAATAAAGTTATTTATTTTGATACGTGACTACCTAAAAAAAAAAAAAGAAAACAAAAAAGAATTAGCAACAAAAAACTTGAGGGTGGTCTAAGATCTAAGATGCCTGTCTTCTTTATGTAACCTTTTGCATTTTGTGTTTAAGAACTGACATTCCAAATGATTTTCTTTGGCTTTATGCCTGGACTGAATACTGAGGCAGCAAATTAGGAACGCTTAAGAAGTCCCACAAAGAAAGATGTTTGCTGTGAAAATGCAGCTAATGTGACACTTGCACTGGAAGCTTCTTAGCCTACTCAAATGATAAAAGATGGCATGGGTCTAGGTGGTGTAAGAATTGTGAATGAAGACTGAAAGTACCATATGCTGGTACGTACAAGGCATTTTTTCTGTCTGGTTATCTGCCATTGTGACTATGCTGATACTACCTTTTATTTCTATTTCAGGAGCTAACTTTGTTACTCGAAAAATTAGCCGATCGGTAGCAAAAATTCACCTTGGACAGCTGGATTGTTTCAGCCTGGGCAATCTGGATGCCAAGAGAGACTGGGGCCATGCCAGGGACTACGTTGAGGTAAGCTGTGGACCATGTGCCTTTTTCTGAGCCATCTTTGTGGTGGGGATAATGCTTGTTGCTGTAACTTCAGGTCATGGTCCACAGAGGGCTATCTCAACATGGTTTTGCTTATTGAGACCTGTTAAGTTTTCTTGCTCTTGATTTCAAACTAGAGAATTTAGCAACACAGCAGTCTACCCCAGGCATGACCTGAACAGAAAAATAAATCTTTGGGTCTACATTCCTTGACTGAATTCCTTGGGGGAGGTGGCTGACTAATAAAGTGTATCTATTTTAGAGTTTTTCTTCTATTGTTTTGACAAATTTTATGACCAGTGTTAAGATTGCAGCAAGTTGCAGTATGACCTGAAGTCAAAGATCCTGCTGGAGGTTGGTGGCCTTTATTATAACAAGGCAAGAATGATGTGTATATTAATGGTCAAAGGTCTAGCTGGTTATATATTACAAAGAAGCATCACAACATAGTTGTGACAGCAGGTACTGCAACACATGTGCCTGCATCTAGTGTTTGAAATGTTTTTGTACTCAGGATTTGTTTCTAATTTTATTCTATGCATCTACTTAAGCAGACAAATAAACAATACCCCTGTATTGTATTACAAGGAGACATGAATGACCATGTAGGAAATATTGTCTTTTCCCCAGGAGACTTTTGTCCCCATTTTGATGCTTAAAGATTTCCTGTGGTCATTGGACTATTTCTGTCTTTTAATAATTCCTTGCTGGGAAACCGGATTTGGCTTCACCATTCATTGATGTAGTTTAAAAAGATGATGACTGCTTGTTTTGTTTTTCTGTATCACAAAGCAAGTATTTCATTAGGAAAAGTCCCATTTGGAATTTTTATTGTAAATTGAGATTTAAAAGGTAAAATAAAAGCTGAGCTTTCAAATGTTGTTTACAGTCAAAAAGAAACAGCAAGAAAACAAAACTGTAATACCAGAATGTAAACTTTTGCTCTGGCTTATATTAAAATAGGGAAAACAGCCATATTGCCTTGGCATTAAAAGAGTTCCATCAAGTTAGTGAAGAAGGTGAGTTTTGGCAGCTGGTTACAATAAAGTTGGCTTTTGGTTCTGTGCTGTATTTGTATGTAGTGTGATATGGGCACCATGAATGTCATGACTATGCCTGCATGAATATTGGTTTATATTTGTGGCTACAACATTGGTCGAAGCATTTAATGCAGTAAACTATCCAAATCATCTTTTTAATGGATAAAACTATAGTCAAGAGGATTCATAAAGGCAGTTACCAAGTCTCAACTGAAAGGAAGTAAAAGATAAGCCAAATAAACTGATTGGTTGCAGGAAGATAGTGAGCGCAATTTGCTAGCAGGCGTTGGATATTCCCTAAATGCTTTGGCTATCTCATTCCAAGACAACTTGCACCAGATCATAAATCATGGGATGAATTCTGATGTCTTCTTCTGTAAGGGTAATCCAGAATAACCCTCTTGTGCCTAGTGGATCAGGCCCTTGTCCTGTGTTCAAACCTTTAAAAGCAAAAAGGAAATGAGAACAAGTCTATGCAGAAGAATGACTAGCTTTCAAGGCCTTTGGCCTCCAGAAGGAATTCAGTCGTCCAAGGTCTACAGCACAAACACATGTTTGTTGTGTAAGTAGCATTCCAGACCTTTCAGCTACACAATTTGGGCCTGTACCAAAATCTTCTGGAAAGAATTGCTTGCTAAAATATAGTTCATCTTGAGTATTTCTCTTCCCGGAGAGGTACCCCTTCGGATAATGGGAAAGTTATTATCAATTCTCTAATTCCCTGAATATTGTGGAAATGTGGTTACAGGCAGCATTTTAATGGGGAAAAAAGAGAGTAACTTTAAGCTGGAAATAAACAATTATTTGAGGCTTTAATGGACTGGAAAGTAGGGCTTAGAGATTTAACATTGTTCAAATAAATACATAGTATGTTAGAAAGCATGATCATATTTACAAGCATTTGGGGAGCTTCCTTAAGGATATGGCTGAACACATAGGGATATAGCTTATCCTCTCCATATGCACTTTTAAATCCCATTGATATTAATACAAGTAACACATGTGCATGTAGACTAGACCACGTACTGTGTTTTCTTTCTCCTTGTTTCCTTATTAGGGATAATAATAAAACCATAAATACATTCCTTTTTGTTGTTTTATAAAACATTATGGGTCAATTCCTGATCTCATGAAAGTTGATGACCAAACTCCCATTGACTTTGTGGAAAGACTATATCCTGTATGTATTGGAGTAGAGAACATATAGTGGTTACAAAGCACAAGCGAAGTCAGGACCTTTATGATCGCAGTATACATCATGTTTAAACATAGATTTGTAGCAGAGGAGAATAGTTGGAATATGTGTTCAGTTAGGTTTTTGAGTTGGTACTTGAACTGCCACCTGCAGGAACAGTGGCGTTGTGCTAGTGAATGAAGACTAGGAAGTCTTAACTTGCTAGGAATGTTTCCTTTCAGTGTTTGAAGACAACAAAATAGAAATAAGTAAGTAGGCATCAAAAATGGGAGGGAGGGATTATTAGTTCATCCTGAAATAAGTAGCTCTTAGCATTTTTGCAGAAATTGCTGCTGCCTCTCACTCCCCCTTTCTCCAGTTTTACCCTACTGTGGTTGAGCACAAGTCTCATGGGAAGACGATTAGAGATGACGATCAATGCTGCTGAGTTGGAAGTGGAAAAATAATGCATCGATGCTATTGATATATGAATCTTCTGTGTGCCCTGTGAGGGTAAATCATACCTTTTATTTGTTGCAGAAAGTTCTAGTAAACTATCTGATAGGTATTTTCAAGTATTAGTACAATAGCAAGCTTTAACAGTCTGACTCATTTCTATGTCATTTATAAAACATGAGGCATCATGCAAATTTCCTCAGACACTCACCCAAGAGTCTTAATTCAAATAAATATAGATACTCAGAAACATTTGACCTGGTCCATTAAAAAAAACACATCAACCACAGGTTGGTTGGTTGTTTTTTTTAATTTCCTAGATGCTAAGTACTGTAAATGAAGTCATGAAGGTGTATGATTGATGGCTTGGCTTCGCGAGTGAAGATTTGGGAAGGGCTTTTAACCATGCTTACTACAAGCACGATGACCAAGGGCATGTGGGATATGCAAATCTGGTTGGAAAAAAGGGTGCTTAGGCAATCAGGAAGTGTCCGACCAGGACTGTCATCTCCTGAGTGATCTCGAGCTACCCATGCGCTGGTCCACCCACATGCAAGGTTTTATCTGCAGCTTCCCATGCACCTTGTCACCTATCGTTTTGACCCTTGCTCGTCCATACAGACAAGTGAGAGTGAGCCCTTCCAGCCTGAGCAGTGGATTTTTTAGGTAAAGCGCAGCTTGTGCAAACCTGGCCCCACCATTTACACCTGAGGTTTAACTGCCACAGCCGAGTTAGCTGGGACAGTGACAGCAAAGTCCACAGGTCGTAGGTTCTGTAAGAGTGTCCTTCGCTTTGATGGAAGACCATACAAGGCTAGACAAGCTCCATCAGATAGGAGTTTTCCTTCTCCTATGAGGAAGGCCTGGCTTCGCTAACGAAGATTCAGGAATAGCTTTATGCATGCATTCTGAAGCGACCGATGACGCAATAGCACAACATCAAGCGTCTAGGCGGGATTCTTAGAAACGTTCAGTCAAAAGCCCACAGATGGTCGCCTCGCGCCAGTGGCTCCTCAGCCAAGCGCACGCACCAGGGGTCTGAGCCTGCGGGTCCTCTCGTACTGAGCAGGATTACTATTGCAACAACACATCATCAGTAGGGTAAAACTAACCTGTCTCACAGCAGTCTTAATATCTGCATCAGAAACCTCTTGGTCCTTCTTGGGGACATAGTAGACACATTTACGTGTAAAGATGTAAAGGGAAAGCCAACAAATAGAAACATGGTCATGTTGCAAAGTGGCTCTGGGAAAAGAACAAGTTCATATTAGACTTCAACAGCTGCAGCTTTTTCTTCCTTTGCTTTCCTCTTTATCACATGCTGCTGCTTAGGTTGCCTTCTGCAGTTGGACTGCACACACCTCAGTGTTGTGCAGAGAGCAGAAATACTGTACTGATGAATGCTGTGGAAAAACCTGTCAAAGTGTATCTTACAAAAGTAAAAAACCAAGTCAAAGGTAACAGTTTTTACTGTAGTCTTTAAGTATTTGTGCAGATCAGAAGTATTTTCTTTTGCCTTCAATAGAAATCCAGCAGTATTTCTGGGAATAATTGCAGAGGCTTCACAATTGGGTCATAATTGATTCCTATTAATTACAGGTCTAGACAAATGCTGAAAATTAAGTATGTACTGAAATTCATGGTGAAATCAGGGACCATTTGATATTCTAAATGTATGGCAATCAGCTTCCATTAATTTGTATTTAAATAACGTTAAAAAAAAAAGCTAAAAAGAACAGCTTATAAATAAGTAATATAGTAAGTTATTGTACAGTCCAACCAAGTACATTAAGAAACTGCTTCAAGAAGGACTTTCCATCTTAGGTTTGTTTTTGTTTTCTAATTGCTTCTGATGATGGCATGTACTTTACTTTGTAATTAAAATACACAACAAAAATGCGCAGTCAGTTTTTATTGTCTTTAATCCTTTTGCGGTTGTTGAACTTGAGATAGTAAAATCTAACCTATAGTGATGCAGTCTGCATTTTAATGTCCACTCATCATCAGTGCGTCTTTTATTAATGATTTTTCTCTTCACCACTCTAATAGGTAGAGACTCACCCTTAGAGACAGCTGCTACCATTTCTGTTGTGGGAAATCCCTTGTCATATGTTTGTGTGCATGTTTAAATATCAAAACTCTTGCCAAACAGCATTATTTAAACTTTTACTTTCCTCTTGTGCATAAGAAATTGATTCAGCCATCAAGATTGTTGGCCAAGGCACTTCTAGTTCCATTTCTTGTTTTCCTGGATTGTTGAGGATATGTTGTCTTTTGAGGTAAGTTTTACCTTAGTCTGATAAGACATGAAG